GGTGCCCGCTGGGGCTTTCGCCCTGCGCCACTGCCCTGCTCCAACAGCAGCAGCCACCCAACATCTCAAACACTTTCCCCGCTTTGCCTGGAAAGTTACGTGGCCAGCAAGTCTCTGCAGGCTGCAAGCAAGGACTACAGCACCACATTACTCAGAACCACGGCTCTGTGGTTTAACTACTCACATCTGACTTCAATTTTATTAAATTTTGAAACTGAGAACAGGATTGCAATTTTATGGTAGAGGTCAGCTCTGTATCTAAAGCTTTCTGTGACAACAGMCTGTGAAATTCTTAAACAGGGTGTATCAAGAAGACAGGTAAGAGCAATATTGGTAGCAACAAAATTAGTAAATTAAGAGCAAGTGTCTGCAGCCCCTTGATAGCCTTGAATCAGGCCAATTAAAGCTTCATCTCCCAGTTTAAAGTCTTTGAGCTGTTCCTGCTGCAGTGACCGAGATTGTGGTTGAAAATTAACTTAGTCATAACGACTGCRGGTTAAAACACTCCAATACTCAATACCCTGCACTGCACGTATTTGACTTGTACCTTTTTCCACTGACCCTTTCGTCAGGCAGGGTCAGTCATTCCCCTGTTGAAGCAACTCTACGACATCCTTCCAAGAGACCATTTAAGAAACAGAGCGGCATGTCCAGCCAAGCAAGTGCAGCCCTTAGCTTCACAAAACCCAGTCCCCAGCCCTCTGCACGTTTGTGCAAGGCGAATATTTCCCAAGACAAGAAGCCTCAGGAGTCAGTCCAGTCCAAGCAGAGTCTGCATGAGCCAGAAGCTCTCGCAGCTGCTGTTCACAAACATCTCCACTGACAGGGACGAGGTGGCGGTTACAGAAAGCTCTTCAAAGGCAAACGGCAACCCGGGAAGGCAGAGGTGCTCCCAGGGAACAGGGACGGGCACGCTGAGCCCGGCCCAGCGGCACCGATGGGGCAGATCCCTCCCCTGGCTGCTCCCAGCAAGGGGCTCCGGGCCCACTGGCGGAAAAGGGGGATCTATTTTCCATAAGAAACTCCCAAGGAGGGAGAGCAACCAAGGGACACCAGCCTGCATCAGATTTCTAGCAATGAGGAAGGGAAAAGGGCAGGAACACTTGGCTTGCCAGGGCCAAGCCCGCCCAAGGGGTCACCCCCCGCACCCCAAGCGGAGCTGGGAGCCGGGCCGAGCGCCCAGGGGGCAGCGGCGGGAGCCGGAGCCGCCGCAGCTGCAGCCGCGCTCGCCCCGTCCGCGCCGCGGCCCGGGCTGC